TAGACGCACCAAATCCTTAACATACACAGTAAACTTGCAAAAATCAATCATAGCAAGAACCCTTATTAGACATTCGTATCCAACTACAAGTAAGAAGGACAAAAAGTGTGTTACATTTGATCTTAGTCCGTGAAATTGAAATCTTCCAATCATTTATTTTCATCTAAAAGTCTAAATACCAACTACAAAGCTGAAGTATGAAGTACACTTCTCTAATGTCAGCATAAAAGATTAACTTCAGTTGACAGCAAAATGCAGAAGTAAATGGCTGATCTGAATCTAACTAGCGCACCTTAATTTTGCAAGCCGATTCATGCATGTTGCAGCAGCATGTGACTTGTAGTCCCTCAACAAAACAGAGTATAGACCATCCTTATTTCCATTTCCTGTTGTCATCTCACACAAATAACAACTACTGTCACTTCATTATTGATTACGCTCTTGAAATCCAAAAAAAGAACAGACCGTAAGTTAAAAAGGACAATACACATGAGAACTCCTTCCAATGTAATCAATCTAAGGGTACGAGAAAAGATTAAGGTTGTGCTATAGCAACAATAGTGCATAAGCAGGTGGCGTTTTACACATGTACCTCATGAGGGGAATCAACAAAATCAAATTTTATGGCAAAAAATATAAAAATTATGTCAGTTTCAATTAAATGGGCAGTAAAGGTAAACTGACCTAACGTAGCCTTCCCGAGTTGCCCGCTGATCAGTTCACTATTACGGAAATAAACAAATCCATCACTTGGGCACATTGTTTCCCCTTTCCCGCTGTAACTCTTTTCTGTGACTGTTAGATTTACATAGACTCTCATCTTTGAATATGGACGCAGCAGCACGCCAAAGAGTTGTTTCCCAGTCCAAAGCTCAACCGGCTGTAAAAAGCCATCTCAGTCATTTGAAGATCCAAAGACAAGACAAACAATAAATTCTACTGGCTTCAGAACGTAAAAAAAGATGGAAACAAAACTCAACCAAACCATACCTACTAATAAAAAAAAGGAAGGGTGTGCACTATGATTTTGGTTAGTGTTAATATGCATATTCCAATCCAAATCAAATATCTAGGAAGAATGATGACTTGTTGCTTTCGCCAAAAGCTTCAAAGATCAAAATTTTCAATCAAATGATATTTTTGAATTTTAGCAGTATATATTAACATAAAAGAAGGTCAACTGTCACTAACAGTTTCCTTAATTAGGGCAACTACCCTCTTCACTAACTCTATGTTGCCAAAGAATAAAATAAACTAAACGATATAAGGAAAATAAGGAAAGAAATTGTTGAAACAACTGCCCCCCATCCATTCTCCAAAGCACCTCTCTCAAGAACCACATCCCCAATGATATTTTTTAATTTTAGCAGTATATATTAACATAAAAGAAGGTCAAATGTCACTAATAGTTTCCTTAATTAGGGCAACTAGAGCAACTACCCTCTTCGCTAACTCTATGTTGCCAAAGAATTCCTTTTCTTCCTCTCGATTACACACTTATGTTCTGTGCGTGCGTGTGTGTGTGTGTGTGAGAGAGAGAGAGAGAGAGAGCATTAGGGGGGGAAAGAAAGTATGGCCATGTACGGACTATTCCACCCACTAATCCGACAAGCCCTCATGAGACAAAGGTCAAAAACCTAATTCCAGAGTACTACTTTATGATGAACTACAAAGGCCCCGCATGCTTCTTTACTGACAGATGGAAAGAGGCACCAGCGCATACTTGCAAAAGCAAAAAAGTGGAAATCTGCTGATGGTGTGGGTAAGGAAGCCCCATAACCAGCAAATTCCTAAAAAAATCTTGCCATAATGAGTCTACAAAAGCCTCACTGTTATATCTTTACTGAAAAACAAAGAGGTAACTAGTAACTACACATGCTTGCAAAAGCTAAAAGGTGTTAGTCTGCTTATGCTGGGTAAGGCAGCCCCAAGACCAACCAAAAAAGAGGAAACAAAAGTTCATTGCCAGCTCATCCGATTCCTTGCACACCCTTTCCACAACCAGTACACTGCCTTCCCTTCACAGCAGATTGGGAGTGTCAATTTTTTTCAACCCCCTAGGAAACATATATTTTCCTCAGAAAACCATGTTAAAGACCTGTTGATCACCAAGCCAGCATTCCCTATCAGCATTCCAAAGTAAAGCCGTCCACACTTCCAGGGAATAAAGTAGTCGCAGAAACTAAAAAGATGGACAATAGATGAGAAATAAGGGAAGACAAGTTTTTTATGCATATATGCTCTTATAGACTTTATACAATGCTCAAAATATTCTTCCACTGTAAGAGTATATACGCGACCAGTATTCTAACTGTAGAAGTGTGTGACCGTCTGATGCAAAATCAAGAAGGCCAAGAATCCAAGAAATTCAAGAAGCCAAGAATCCATTCAAGATTAGGATTTCTTTTCCTTAAATATTAGGATTTCTTATTTCTTGTTTCGTAGTAATTTAATTCTTGTTTCGGTAGGATTATATTTATAGTCTAGTCAAACTAGGATTGTTAGTTAATATCCCATCCTTACTAGAATACACCCTGTTATCAAAGGAGAAAAGCGCAAAAAAGCTCCAAGGTCCGTTGGGGCTTTAAGCGCAAAGCGCAAATAAAGTGTGGGCTTTAATGAAAAAAGGCGCAACTGGAGAAAAAGTAAAAATATGTATATGTAGTCCAAGACTAATAATTATACGCATTAATAACAAATATATGGACAAAGAAATTGCAAAAAAATTACGATAAGGTGAAATATCAATTATTTAATATCACCTTTTCAGGATTACACTTATTGGCAAGGAAAAGTATGCCTTAGAGCCTTGATGCGACACTAAAGCACCCACAAAGCGAGGCGAAGCGCTCAACATGTTTTGAGCCTCACTTCAGGGCTTAAGCGCGCCTTTGACAACACTTATACCTTTTCTTATTTTAGTTAGAATAGGTTTTTCTTAACCTTTTTCTTATTCTAGTTCAATTAGGATCAGTTTTCCTTAACCTCATCAATTATACTCATTGTAAGGCCTATTTAAAGGGCTCAATATGCTGAAAATAAACATTGATGATTAGTTTCTTTGAGCATTAGCTTCAAAATGTGATTGACTCTTTTGTTTCCTCTTCTTCGCTTGTTCAACGCTTCTTGCAATCTTGTGGGATTGAGGAATGTGTGGGTGGGATTTCTTTTCATCTTACATTCTTCTAACGTGAGTTTGAAGAACGCTTTCGCTATTTATGTGAAAAAACTTTAGCAGGGTGCTTTTGTTTTTCTCTTTCTTTGTGCCTGAGAAGTGCAAAACCTTGAAAGTTCATCATCATCTCATCTAAAAGCTTAAGCTATTAGAGAGAGCATACTTTATTTACTTAATTCTCTTCACACGCCCCTCTGCAGGCTTCATTCATATTTTCATTGGCCAAGCACGTGGAAATTCATTCTCTATAATGATGGCAGCGAGACTCGAACACAGGACCTATGTCTACTCTGATACCATGTTGAAGTGTGTGACCATCTCATCTAAAAGCTCAAGCTATTAGAGAGAGCATACTTTATTTACTTAATTGTCTCTTCAACACTAACATTCTAACATAAAAACAAATAAAAAAGATATCAACTGAAACGGAAAAAGAATTAATTAGAAAGAATACCTAAACTTACTAAAAATTAAAAAATGACAAATTGCACATCAATATGCTTAATATTTGTAGAAAGCACGTTACCGGGAAAAGTATTTCAATAATTGTATTTATTCTTGATAATCACTGCAGTTCA